TATCCTCTCAATGCCATCTCCAAATCCATCTTCCCTGTCCAAAGGGAAAGAATATCTCAGTGGAGGATGATCTGAATTATCTGCTGCTCCTGATTTAAACTTCACTGTGCTCCATGGGAGCCAACTCCAACTCATGTTTCACCTGAATGCCTGTGGAAAAAGCCACCTACAGCTCCCTGTAGGTTAATCCCACGATCCCAAAGGATGCAGCCAATAGCTCCTTTCCTATTTAAACCCGGTCTGAATTGGGTATTAACTACCTGCTGTGTTTGGCAGGTCTCTTATTCCTAAAATAAATAGCTGCATGAAAAGCCATAAACTCTATATTGGACTTTTTCATTAAAAAAAAAAAAAAAAAAAAAAAAAAAAAGTAATAATAATAATAAAAAAAATCAAAGTAGAGTCAGGATTTGAGCAGCCTCACTTATTGCAGTCAGTCTGGCTCCCACAGCTGCTCCTGCTGGACTGGCTCCTTTCAGCCAAGAGGAGCTGCAGCCCAACGTTTCCTGCTGAAGTTTTGCCTCACCCAGAGCAAAGCCAAGTGAGTTTTGGACAGGGCTCTCCCACGCTTAGAAATTATGAATGTGCTCTTATTAGAGCAGGTTGCATGTTTTGCATTAAACAGCCATTCAAATACCAGCCCAGCAAAATGTTGGTGGAGGGGAGAGCTGCTCTGGTTAAAAGGACACGTTTTTCTTCCAGTCTCCATCAAAACTCACCCAAATCTATCACTGGGAGGATCTGAGGAGGTTAACGAAGATTTTGCTCACTGGGGACGAGCCTTTTGCAGGTTCCACTGCAGTTCATAAAAGAGGGGGAGGAAAAAAAAAGGAAAAAAAAAAAAAAAAAGAAGAAAAAGAGGAAAATAGCATTTTCTCCTCCTGCTTTTTAAAAACCTGCCTGTGCTGAGCTGAGACCCACTGAGTGTCTCAGAAAGTGCTTTGGTTTCATCAATCCCAGGATGGTTTGGGTTGGAAGGGACCTTAAAGTCCATCCAGTGCCACCCCCTGCCATGGGCAGGGACACCTTCCACCAGCCCAGGGTGCTCCAACCTGGCCTTGGACACTTCCAGGAATCCAGGGGCAGCCACAGCTTCTCTGGGAATTCTATCCCAGCCCCTCCCCACCCTCACAGTACAGAATTTCCTCCCAATATCCCACCTAACCCTGCTTTTTGTCACTCTGAACCCGTTCCCCCCCCCCGTCCTGTCACTCCAGGCCCTTGTGAGCAGCCCCCCTCTCCAAGTCAAACCCCAAAAGGAAGATTCCCTCTAAAAGCCAGAGGATTTCAGTGCTCCAGCAGAATTCCACGCCTCGTTCTGAGCTAAAAACCAGGCCCGGCAAGCTGGTTAAATGGAGTTAAAGATTAGCAATGTTGCCATCCTGTGGCTGCTTTCAGCAAAGGCTCAGGGCGTGATCCTGAATTTGTTAATCACCAGGAAGCAGATTGCACCTGGATTCCGCTGTTAAAATGAACAGACAGCAATTAAAGTTGTTATTATTATAGAACATAATCAGCCCTTTGTTACAGTAATTATTTATACACAGCAAGGATGTGTGCACAGTAAATAAGGTGGTGTCACCCCTTCCACTGGGATTCTCGTCCTCGTGGATTTATAGGGCAGGTTTAAAGCTGACCTATAATTAACCTTGAGTTATCCAAGCAGAAACTGTAAATTGAGAAGTAAAAATCACCTCTTAGTGCCAAAAAAAAAAAGAAAAAATTACAAAAGGACAAGGAGTCAGTTTAATGCCCTTCAGGTTTGAAATGACTTTTAAGTTAAATTTTAACGTTCCAACCCCTGAATTAATTCATCTTATGACTGCTATAATAATTTGTGATTTTCAGTAATTTGATTATGTTTTCTCTCTCTCTCTCTCTCCACTCCAATCCCTTCTCTCCAGCATCACACCAAGCTCTTCCCTACTGACAAAAAACATCCAAGGAAAGGATCCCTGGAAGTGTCCCAGGCCAGGTTGGAGCAACCTGAGCTAGTGGGAAGTTGTCCCTGCCCGTGGCAGGGCATTGGAATGAGATGATCTTTGAGGTCCCAAACCATTCTGGGATTCCACGATTCCGTTGGAAAATTGCTTCCCAACTCCTTGGAAACGGGCAGGTTTTTATGGGGGCAGAATTTGGAATCCTGGAGCACCCAGCCAACACCTCCTCTCCTTGCAGAGTAAATCCACACCTTCTTTCCTGCCCTGCCCTTGATTTGGAAGCACATCCAGCTGGTGCCACCCCACCGGTGCCAGGAAAAGGGAAAGTAGAAACATCCACTGGCTCCTGCAGCAAAAAATAACAGTTTAAACAGGTTCAATTAGACAGGCTGAGATCCCATTCCATTCCCACTCCCATTCCAACCTGGCCTGTTTCCATTTCCCTCAGCAAACAAACACTTCAGAATTCCTTATTTCAGCTTGGCTGAAATCAAAACAGAGGTGCCTGCCCGGATTATTTATTTACTTTTTCCTGGCTAAGTGGGGGAAGTTTATAGCGAGACAAAACCTGGCACTATTTATCATCATAATTTATCATCATTGTGCTTATGATTCACACCAAGGGGAGGGGGGAGAATCCACAGGGGATATCTGGGAAATAACAGCCCCCCAAATGAAGCTTTTCTGGTTAAACTCATGGCAAGGAAAGCACTTTAAGTAGAAAATGCAAAAGACACCACACGTGGGCAACAGTGTGTGTGGATGTCTAGGTGGACTCGATGGCACAGACTGAAAATAAGAGCAGATTTAAATAACTGGATCACAGGATAATAATTGGAGCACGAAGAAACCCCAAACACAACGATTTTGGGGGAGCTAAACCCCGACCAGCCCTCACAGAAAAAGATGGCAACGAGTTCAAAGACACACAAACAGGTTCTTCTCCTTTTCAAGAGCACCAGGATCGGGTTTTCAGCCCCTGGAAGAGCCCCAGTTCACGACCAGTTTCCAGACAGAGAGAAACCTGTGAACCTTTTTTAATTCTTCATGCCCTAAGAGGCAAAAACCCTCTCAAATTGCAGGCCATGAGGCCTCAGGGCCGTGGCTTTCTGGGATTTCCAGCTGAGGGAAGGAGCAGGGGGGGGATTCTCAGCGATATCACTTGGCTGCCAGCGGTTTTCCAGGCTCCAGGAAAAGCCTGGCTCGTTGGCAGGCAGGGAAAGGGAAAGCTGAACCGCTCCCAGGTTTGCAGATTCCTGCTGCAGATTCCAGGGATCCAGGGGCAGCCACAGCTTCTCTGGGAATTCTATCCCAAGCCCTCCCCAGCCTCACAGGGAAGAATTCCTTCCCAGTATCTGATCTAAACCCATCATTCAATTTGAATCCATTCCCCCTTGTCCTGTCGCTCCAGGCCCACTTGTAACAGTCTATTCACAACTCTTTTTAATTCACCAGGTGGAAAGAAGCCCAAAATAATCACTTTATATAGAAAAAAAAAAAGAAATAAAGAAGAAAAGAAATGTCTTCTAGTCCATCTAAGTTTGGAGTAGAGGCTTCTGCTTCCTTTGCCTTGTTTTGGGTAACACTGTCACCTGCTGGCAGGAGAGGGCAAAACTCAAGTTTTGGGGCAAGAAAAGAGCCCTTCCCATCCCAGAAGTTAAAAATAAACCCCGGTAAAACGCAACCTGGAAAAAACCAGGTGCTCCTGGTTAAGAAGGATCACCACGGGTGATCAGAAACCCCAACGGTGCCAAACTCCCTCCCCCACAACCAGGAACTCTCAGCTTCCCATCCACTCCCTTTCCCCAAACGCCACTTCCAGCTCCAATTAATCCACACCTGTCACTTTTCCTCTCCCAGCCACCTCCATTTCCACCTACACGTTCCTCCTTTTTAATGAGCAAGGAGTGACTCCTGACAGGATGGGGGGAATCAAGCTCTGCATTCCAAGGAATGAGGGGCAGGACAAGAGGGAACGGCCTCAGGCTGTGCCAGGGAAGGGTCAGGATGGACATCAGGAGGAATTTCCTCCTGGAAAGGGTGGTCAGGCACTGGAAGGGTGCTTATATAAAATACAGAGTCTGTTTTGAATCCACAGGCCAAGTAGTATCAAACAAATTCTGACCCAAAGGCAGTGTGGTTAAATAATTCCAAGATATATAAATACAGGGAGCTGGAGATAGCAGCAAAATCTCACACCAGAAATATTTGGATTTTAAGGTGGGATGTGCATTTGTTGAAGAGCAAAAAGATCCTCGTGATTTTAATGAGCAGTTAACTCAGTCAAGGAAAAGATCTGTCACTGGCTGAGAGTTTAAACTGTTGCTCTGGAGATGATCTTCCCTATTTCTCCCCTGACCTCTTCATTTATCTGAAACACTGACACTGTTAATGTTTCCTCCCCGTGAAACTATTTCTGCTTTTCTAAATATCAGTCCACTTTCTCAGAAGATGACAGAAGACAAACCCTAATTAATCACACAGCCAAACCCATGGAAATATTACAAGTCAAAGAGGTTTAATATGAATACATACATACACTGGGGTGTATTTTATTGGCTAAGGGAGTTAAGTTTCGAAAAAGGAAAAAAGGGGGTATTTTTAATGTCCACTCTCAAACTCTGCTGCCTCAGGAAAATCTCCTGCCTGCATTTCTTTTTTCTTAAACACAGAAACTGAACAAGGAAGAGCTTTCTCCTGCTCTTTATTTCTAAATCAGGTCTCCAGAGGGTTTATTCCTTTTGCTCTCTTGTTTCTTGCAGTTAAAAACTTTCCATTTCTGTTGAAATCATCTCGGCCCTGATCTGTGTTGTACCTGACCATCAGCTTCCAGCCCCACAGGTACTGAGGACAATTTACACTCTGCCCAGCAAATAATCCAAGATGCTGGAATGACACAATTTCCTCCTTTTTTCTTTTTTTTTTTTTTTTTTTAGCTCTTAAACCACAGCAGATCTGATGAATACATCCCATAACAGGTTACTGGAAGATATGATGCTTTGTAAACACCAATTCAGGGACTCTGACGGAGGAACTTGCAGGTTACTGGGATGGCTTTTTAATACCCAGATTTCCCTGAATTCCTTAGGCTGGGGCACTTCTTGAAGTCACCTCCCAGCTGTTTCTCCTCCTGCAAAACTACATTCCTGAAAAAGCTGTGTCTTCCACTTCAGGGTGCTACAGCAAATCTGCACAGGGAACCTTGATGGGGAGTTGAGGATTTAAAACATCTGCAAAAAGAAATGCACTCAGGCAAGGCTGCACTGACTTCAGACCGTGAAGAGTCTGCTAAAAGCTTGTTTTGTTGGATAAGCTCAGCCCTTATTTGTTTGAATCACAGGTGGTTTGATCTTCAGGTGCAGGAGGAGGCGTTTCCTCAGTCCTGGGACGTTTTGGTGCTGGGTCATTTTGAAGGCTGTCGTCAGATGGCAGTGGCCTCTCTGAAAGAAGCAGGCAGGGAAATCATTTAAGGTAAGAGAATTCAGATTAATGAAGTGAATTGGTTTGCTGAATTCACAGACCAAAAATAACTCACTAAAAAATAACCCAACAGCCCATGTTTGAGAGAGTCCAGCACGTGAAACAATGATGTGCTGGAAGGATAAGGGTCTTTAAAACCCACATGTAGGACCTGGAGAACATCAAATCCAGCTGAATTTATTTTTGATTTCACTATTACAAAACCTCTAGTGACACAGAGTCACATCAGCAGCTGCCCAAGAGCCACCTGATCTCACATTTGTCAAAAGCACCTTTCAAACACATCGAGACAAGGAGGAAGCTTTAGAATTTGCAACCAGGTTTGTTTTTTTTTTTTTTTTTAATAACATAAATCCACGATGGAAGAAACTGATTGGTAAAAGACTTGGCTGGATGTGGAGAGCCACAAAAGCTTACCATGTTCCTGCTCTGAGGAAGGAGGCCCAGAGGCTGTGTCTGGATCTGCAGGGGTGGGTGTATCCGGCTTCAGCGAAATCAAATTTATTCTCCTTTAAAAGAAGCAGAAATAGTTCAATTGCTTCATGGACATCATTTCCACAAATATTTTACTTAAAGATTTAATTCACATAGAATCAGGTGATTGTAAAGGTAGTTCAGATATATTTTCCTGCAAGAATTTTTAATTCTTTTTATATGTTGAATGGAGCAACATCCCATTCCCACCCCCTGCCATGGGCAGGGACACCTTCCACCAGCCCAGGTTGCTCCAAGTTTATCCAGCCTGGCCTTGGACACTTCCAGGGATCCAGGGGCAGCCACAGCTTCTCTGGGCAACCTGTGCCAGGGCCTGCCCACCCTCCCAGCCAGCAATTTCTTTCTAATATCTAATATTTAAATACTAATATCTGAAGGGTCTTGCCAGCTGATGGCTTCAGGTACCATTTTTGTACAGACAATGGGACCTGAGGGCAGAATCACAGGATATTCCAAGTTGGAAAGGACCCACAGGGATCATCCAAGTCCAACTCCTGGCCCAAGACAGACCCCAAGTGCTGCCATGTGGCCACGGCACAGCCAGCAGGTGAACTCTGCTCCTGCCTCCCATCTCAGGAAGCTGCACACTTATGATTCAGGAGACATTTCCAACCAGAACAAAAAAAGTTCCATGTCAAGACAGCTCCCACCAAGACCCCATGGCTGGGAATTCCTGCCTAAAACCCCCCAGTCTTTCAATGCAGCACAAGCCCAGCTTGGCGTTAACGACCCGAAAGGGCCACGTAAATCTCACCTGGGTGTCTTGAAACAGGTCTGTAATGTGTGGAGGGCAACTCTCCGGGGCTGCTTGGCCTTGCTGCTCTGGGGGGCTGCCTGGCTGCTTTTCCTCTCCTCCCAGGACGAGGCTGGAACGGTTTTGACGCCAACAGGGGTGGAGGGTGAGTCCTTGCTGGCAGCGCTGGGTGTGCTGGGTGTCAGGGAGGGAGGGCTGGTCCTGCCGGGGGGAGTCCCCTCGGCCAGCCTGGAGCTCGGGGAGGTGGATTTGGGGCACTGGCTCTTCTTCACCTTCTTCTCTGTTGCACCAGGAGTCCTGAGGCTGATCTGGGGCTTCTCCTTCAGAGGAATTCCCAGCTCGTCCTTCTCGAAGGTGACGAAGGAGCAGTATCCGTCGGTGGAGGAAATAGCCAGGAAGGATCCGTCGCTGGACCTGGTTGGGATTTGTTGTTTGTTTTTTTTTTTCCAGTAAAATTCAAGGCTTGAAGTTTTTTTTTTCAACCCTCACGCTGTCCCTGTTTTTTCACCCTCCCTCCCCTAAATCCATGTGTATATTTAAGCCCTGAGCCAGCAGAGCGGGATGTCCTGACTGGGTTCAATTTGCAGCTCCAGTCCTGATTTCCCACAGTTAAATTAAAAGTGGGGAGTCAAACAAATTACTTCGTCCCATATGTGGAGAATCACTAAGAAGGGCTGTGTAGTTAAAGCAGATTTTGACCAGAATACAGAAACCTGAACTCAGGTGGCTTCCAAAACCTCCAGACAACTGCTTTATTCCCAGTCATACAATGAGGACTTTTCATGGGCATCTGACCTGTTTCCCATTTAATTAAGAACCATAATTTTCCAGTTTGCAGGGCAAGAAAGACATGGGGTTGCTGTTCAGACACTGATGACAGTGACCACACAGATGCCATAAATTAAATACAAAGCCAGAAGATGCCACCCAGAACTTGGCCCCTTAAAAAGGGAATTTCCCTACCCCAAAAAGCACGAGGAATACAACAATTACTCACCAGGAAATGTCACTCAGGGTGTGATAATGGATGTTAGAGACGTAACCAAAGGGGAAGGACTGCTCAGTGTCATAAAAAAGCACCGAGTCTTCGGAGGCCACAGCGAACACCAAGCGATAGGGCAGGTTAAACAGAGCGGGGCACGATTTCTGACTCATCTCATCTGCAGAGCAAAGAAAGGAACACACTGACAATTCTCTCCTGCATTTATTGCAAGGTAGTGACTGCAGATATAATAAAGATGACTTTATTGATTAGATGAGCACTGAGAAGACAGCACTTGTATAAAATGTGTAATTTAATGCCAAGCACAACACCTCTGCTGCCTGAAGTTTGTGCCTTGTTGTCTTAATTGAAGAGAAGTTGGCAGAAGCTTTTTTCCCCCCCTCTGGATTGCTATTAATTTGTAAAGTTTGTCCTTTATTTTCCAGCTGAAATTTATCAGTATATTCCTGAGAACTTTAGTGTTACAGTCCCCCTTTAGGGGAGCTGCAGAGACCAACTGCAGACACTCATCTCCTTCCTTTGCAAGGGATCTAAAGATCACAACGAAAATACAAGAGGTAATCTTTAAATCCTCGAAGGAACACTCCAAATTGACCCTCTACAGAATGGAGCAAAGCTCTGCCTTTTCAACAAGAGTAACACAGGCCTTGTTAAAATATAAAACCCCTCCTGGGCCCACTGGGCTCACAATAAGGCTGCACTTCAATCCCCAGGTGAGTTCTTGTGGCACTTCATACAACCCTTTCCCCACCTCAGAATTCCTGTTCTGGCCAGTTAACACCAGCACTGCCTCAGGTTTGGCTCCCTTGAACAAACATCACTGGTTGTTGCAAACTGCCCCAACTCTCTGGTGCTCCTCTGATGTGGGGAGTTGAGACTAAGGGAAAATATTGCACTGGATCACTCCTTTAGTGCCAAACCAAGTTATTTATTTTCAACACCAAGTGGTTAAGAGTTCAAGAAAAACATTAAACGGTGTTGGCTGCAGCTTGAGAGGCCAGCAAGGTTTATCCACTCTTATCAAAAACCTACTCACAAGGTACTTAAGGTGAATTGAGAGTCTTAGAACCAGGAAACAGCTTCTGAAATGGGGTACTACACTGTCCTAATGGGGATAAAACAGCAACCAGCCAGGCTGGTTTTTTTCCCATCTTTGCTGTAAATTCCTGCTCCCTGAAGGACTCCCAGTTACCTTCATGAAACGCTCCTCTCAGCTCGAAGTAGACCGGGCAGCAGCGAACAGCCAGAGTTCCCTTCCCAGGGCACGGCAGGTGACCCACAGGCCTTCCAGAGAGAATCAGGGGGTCAGCAAGCACAGTTCCACTATTACAGTTTTTAAATAAATTAAAAAAAAAAAAAAAAAAAACACAAACCACGTTTTTTACCTTTTCAGGTTGTTTCTGGAGAACACGTAGGTGGTGTTGGTAACGTTTTCTCCTGATTCCACGCAGCCAGCTGCGAAAATAAGAGGTTGCAACGTTACTCATCGCCTCAGGAAGGGCCTGAGCACACACCCTTGGATGTCCATAAACATTCAGGCTCTCAGGAATCAGGTTGGTTTTGTTTCCTTGATGTGCTTCCCCCCTCAAAGCTTCTTTCTGGTGTTGCCAGACACCTATAAAAGCAGTGCCTGCACACTGATCCCCTCCTTGCTGTGCTGTTTTGACTCTGGCTGCAGAATGTTCTTAAGGAAGGACACAAACAAAGAGGGATCAGTCAAAAAAAACCACTCATTACCCTTTGTTTCTCTTTTAACAGAGCTCTGGTTTGCAATTTATGTGTTTCAGTTCAGAAAACTGTTATAAATCTCATTTTTATCACAGGAGGAAGTTGATGTTATGGAGTGCTAAAGGAAAACTATTGTGGAGTTTCTGGTTTCTTCAGCAGGGAGAATGAGGAATGGCATTGTTAGGATAAATCAGCATCCCTGAGCAATTGGAAAGCAATATTGAGGCACATTCAGACTAGAACAGATTGGAGAGGGAGCTGGGGGGGCTCAGCCTGGAGAAAAGGAGGCTCAGGGGGGACCTTCTGGCTCTGCAAGTCCCTGCCAGGAGGGGGGAGCCGGGGGGGGTCGGGCTCTGCTCCCAGGGAACAGGGACAGGAGGAGAGGGAACGGCCTCCAGCTGTGCCAGGGGAGGCTCAGGTTGGCCCCGAGGAGGAATTTGTTGCTGGAAAGGGTGGTGAGGCCTTGGCAGGGGCTGCCCAGGGAGGTTTGGAGTGCCCAGCCCTGCAGGTGTCCAAGGCAGGCCTGGCCGTGGCACTCAGTGCTCTGGGCTGGGGGACAGGGTGGGGATGGGACACAGGGGGGATTCCATGACCTCAGAGATCTTTTCCAACCTGGAGCTGTTTTCCAACCTCAGTCCCAGCCCACGTTGCCACACCTGGAGTGAGCAGGTAGGAGCCATCGGGGGTGAAGCTGAGCCGGCGGAAGAAGGACTTCATGCTGTCGTCGTGGAACATCCGGTAGCTCCGGGCCTGCAACGGGAGGAAAACAGGATTGGCACAAGCTGGAATTCCAGGGAGAGGAAACATCCAGTTGCACAACCCGACCTGGGGGAACTTTTTTTTTTTTTAAAGAAAAGTGTTTGGAGAAACCACGGCTCCTCCAAACTCACTTTCTGCCCCGCTATAAATTCTTCACGGCTAAGAAAAAAAACCGGGCCTTGATCCCTCCCTTCAGCTGCTGAACAAAACAATCCCAGAGCAGACCAGTAATCCAAAAATAGTCAGAACCTGGAGAACAAGATTATTTAACAGGGAGTGTAAGGGCCTGTTCCTCAGGCACTTAAATTTAACTCCAGTATTAAAGGTTGAAAGAGAACTTCTCTAATGGCAAGCTGCCTGCTCTCGGGCCTGGTCTTTAGTCTCTATAAAACTCTAAAAAATGCCTTCCCCCCAAAAAAAAAAAAAAAAGAAAAGGAATGAATAGAAGGAATTAAGAAGGTTATGGCCAGCTTGGAGGTGTTATTTTATTGTCACTTAGAACTGTTTTGGTGAAAAAAAGCTCTTTGTTTTCTCTCTTAGGGTTACAGAGAGTTTCCTGAATTTTCCCTTAATCCATGTTTTTCTTAAAAATCAGACTACCTTCTGGAAAACTTCAGGCTCCTAACTTTAAAATATTATTGCTATGTCCTATCCATGAATAAACTTACAGCTACTGGTAGGCATGCTTGAAGTTTTTCCTGTTAAAAGTTCACCAGACATAGTATTTTTCCAAGCCATTATAAATATTTACAACCAAAGGCACCGTGTCACTGCTTTGCTTGCAAGAAGTTTTGGGGGTATGGATTAGGGGGTGATTCTGGTGGTGCTGGGTGATCTTGAAGGTCACTTCCCAGCTTGATGATCCCGTGTTAGTTATATGGATCCCAGGGAATGGAACAGGAAACTCATGTGAAATATCCCCCAGCACGTTCTCCAGTGCCATCAGCGGAAGAACAACGAACCTCTCCTTCGGCTCCCGATCCAGATGGCATCTTGGTGACGTTGAAGGCCACCCTCTTGGTCTGTGTGCTGTACACCCGCAGGACCCTGCAGAGGAGCACAGAGACACTCCCTGCTCGGGCTGCAGCGACCTCAAAACCCACCCAGTGCCACCCCCTGCCATGGGCAGGGACACCTCCCACCAGCCCAGGTTGCTCCAAGTTTATCCAGCTTGGCCTTGGGCACTTCCAGGGATCCAGGGGCAGCCAAAGCTTCTCTGGGAATTCTATCCCAGCCCCTCCCCACCCTCTCAGGGAAGAATTTCTCCCCAGTATCCCACCTAACCCTACTCTCTGTCAATGTGAACCCATTCCCCTTGTCCTGTCCCTCCAGCCCTTGGGAATAGTCTCTCTCCTTCTTTCTTGGAGCTCCTTCAGGCCCAGCAAGGCCACACTCAGGTCACCCCAAAACCTTCTCTTCTCCAGGCTGAACAATCCCAGCTGTGCCAGCCTTTCCCCACAGGGCAGGAGCTCCATCCCTCTGATCATCTCATATAATTTTACTTTCACATCAACCTGCTTACAGAACAATCTGAATAAAACTTAAAAAAAAGCCACATTTATCTGGTGCATTTCCTTTTGACTCATCCTCCTAATATTCATATTAATTAATGTTAATGAATAAAACACAGCCCAGCAGCTCACCTGTCACAACTCAGGGTTGCAATGTACTGGCCTAGAGGATCCCAGGTTACCCCTTGGACATAACTCTTGTGCTCATTAAATATGGAAACCTTCTGTCCTGGAAATACAAACAGCTTTCAGATCCAAAGCTCAAACGTGTTGTAAAACCCAAATCACCCCCCCAAAAAAAAAAAAAACCCCAAACACAAAAAAAGATGCTTCCAATTTTCTGGTAAATCCCAATAGGCACTTCTACCAGCTCTGGAGCTGGGATAAAGAAATCTCTGAAAGGGATAAATAAATAAATGTAACATTTACCTTTATTGACATCCCACATTATAGCTGTGTTGTCCACAGAAGCAGAGGCCATGTAATTACCATCTGAGGTCCAACAAATATCATACACATCTTCTAAGTGGCCTCTGGAAGCCAGAAGAAAAGAAAGCAATTATTAATTTGATAATTAACAGGTATGAGTTAACAAGAGTTTTATGCATTTTTAGGTCAAAAAAAAATTAAAAAAAACAAGAGGAAAATAAAGTGTCACTGAAATAAAGCAAACAACATGTTTTTCAGCTGTTAAAAAATCCCTTCCCTGTTCAGAAGGTGGTGGGGCATTTTGGAACCAGCTAAAGGGCTCCATCAAAACCAATTTTTATTGCTTGTTGTTTGAAGACTTATCACACAGTGTGGTGACTTTCAGTATTTGAAAATTTGGGTTGTTCCTTTGCTTTAAGAGATGAATGTTCCTAAAGGATCCTGCTGGTACTTCAAGCAATCCCACCAGGGCTTCTGGAACTGTTCTCACACCAACCTCAGCAGCTGGCAGGACTGTTTCAGTTATGGGGAGCTGAGTCACTCATTTTTTATTTTTTGTTTTGTGAGAACAGCTGTACTTCGACTGCCAGTGGTGGTTTGACGCCTTGGCCACTCCCAGCTAAACTTACTGAGCCTTAGCATGTACTGTGTATATTTTATTAGCTGAGGTACACCTGAAACAACAGCTGTGATTGCATCAATCAGTTTATCTACTGATGCTCTCGGCCTTAATAATGATCCAAATTTCTACTACAAAGACAGTAAGATAAAACTTCTGAGTTCTTTTGTGTATTTCTGTGCTGAGCTCTAAGGGACTGCAAATCTCAAGAAGCCATTTCAGAAAGTGTGAGTTATGACTTAGTGATTGACTGGAGATGTAGGCACTGGGGAGAAAAAAAAGTTAAATACAATAAAATCACAGAATCACAGAAGGGTTTGGGTTGGAAGGGACATTAAAGATGATCCAGTTCCAACCCCCTGCCATGGGCAGGGACACCTTCCACCAGCCCAGGTTGCTCC